TTCTTCTGGACAAAGCCATGGTGGTGGGGCCAAGGCAGAGATGGTTAGGGGTGATCAGGCCAGCAGGGGAGAGCAGTTAGGGGGCCGGCAGGCAGGTGAGCAGTTAGGAGCCAGTGTTCCTGGATTGTGAGAGGGACGTCTGATGGGATCGGGCCTAAACCAGCAGTCGGACATCCCCTGAGGGGTCCCAGATTGGAAAGGGTGCAGGCTGGGTTGAGGGACCCCCCCTCCCGTGCACAAATTTTGTGTACTGGGCCTCTAGTATGTGTATTTGTATATATATTGATTCCCAATCCAGGCACATACTGGGTCTCCAGTAAGGGGTGTACATGAGGCAGCTGATCAATGATTCTCTCCCATCATTGACGTTTCTATCTCTCTCTCCCTCTTCCTTCCTCTCTGAAATAAATAAAATTATATATCTATACTAATAAAAGGGTAATATACTAATTTACCGAACATCTTCCAGACAACCTTCCAGACGTTCTTCTGGACAAAGCCATGGTGGTGGGGCCAAGGCAGAGATGGTTAGGGGTGATCCAGCAGGCAGGGGAGAGCAGTTAGGGGGCCGGCAGGCAGGTGAGCAGTTAGGAGCCAGTGTTCCTGGATTGTGAGAGGGACGTCTGATGGGATCGGGCCTAAACCAGCAGTCGGACATCCCCTGAGGGGTCCCAGATTGGAAAGGGTGCAGGCTGGGTTGAGGGACCCCCCCTCCCGTGCACAAATTTTGTGTACTGGGCCTCTAGTATGTGTATTTGTATATATACTAGAGAGAGAGAGAAAGAGAGAGAGAGAGAGAGAGAGAGAGAGAGAGAGAAGGAGATAACTTGTGGCAACCAAGTTTCTACTGGGGTGGGGCAACTGAAAGTGCAGTTGTAGTGGGTTCTGCTGGCAGAGGAATCTGTTGGCGATCTTAGTTGGGTGGGCAAAAGTTGATCGTGTATGAACGCACATTTGGTCCTCTGGACCCCTGCATCCACCCTCATGTGACCAGTCAATGCTTACGGCCCGATCCTAAATTGAGGTCCCTTCCCTGTCTAGGCTTTGTGATCATGGACAAAGCCATGGTGGTGGGGCCAAGGCAGAGACAGTTAGGGGCAATCAGGCCAGCAGGGGAGAGCAGTTAGGGGGATCAGGCCGGCAGGCAGGTGAGCGGTTAGGAGCCAGCGGTCCTGGATTGTGAGAGGGATGTCTGATGGGATTGGGCCTAAACCAGCAGTCAGACATCCCCTGAGGGCTCCCAGATTGGAAAGTGTGCAGGCTGGGTTGAGGGAGGCCCCCCGCCCCCCGTGCACAAATTTCGTGCACTGGGCCTCTAGTATATATATATATATAAATAAGAAGGAGGTAACTTGTGGCAACCAAGTTTCTGCTGGGGTGGGGCATCCTGAAATTGCAGTTGTAGTTGGTTCTGTGGGCAGAGGAATCTGTTGGTGATTTTAGTTGGGTGGGCAAAAGTTGATCGTGTATGAATGCACATTTGGTCCTCTGGACCCCTGCATCCACCCTCATGTGACCAGTCAATGCTTACGGCCCGATCCTAAATTGAGGTCCCTTCCCTGTCTAGGCTTTGTGATCATCACCTCTCAGTTGACTCACACCCTCCAGGTCAGCAACAATCTTTCCACCTCTTCTTAAGCTCTCTGAGCCTTTTAAGCCTCTGAAATCTGAATCCCTCAAGTCATTGCTCTGCGTGTGGGAGAGCCTCTGTGCCCTCTCCTTCCCCCACATCTGGCCAGGACTCAGGATTTCTGAGGTTTCTTCCCTCTTGTCCAATTGGGCCTCATCACTCCTGTGATAGGCTGGGTGGGATCTCACATTCTAATATGCGTTGGCCCTGGACTTTCCTATGGACTCTGAGTTTTCTCATTGATCTGAGATTTTTCTCGTGTCATGTGATTTACTGATTAACATTGATTGCTACATTGTTGCCTCTTGACTATTTAAATTTTGCTCCAGCAGTCCTCCTGATGTTAAGCCAGGACATTATTTTTTTCCCAGAGGGGGGGACTGTGGATTTGTCATAAACTAAAGAAGCTATTTCTGAGCTTTGATTTTGAAATTGAATTGAAGTATCAAAATAAAAAAGTATAATCCTTAAATTTAGGCTTTCAAGAAAGATAAGAGAGTCA